CCCCCCCCCCCCCTACATTGCAAACCTGGGCCCCTTTCGAGCGGGAGCAAGCCTGCGCGTGACTGCTTTCCCCTTGCGGGGTCTCATTGCTCAAACGCTGCAATACCTCGGACCTAGCAAAAGTTGCCTTTACCCAGGATCCATTTCATCCTGCCCCCACTCACGTCTGTAATCTTTCGCTTCCTAAGCCAAGATTTCCCCACATTACCCTTCATTCCTAACCCTCTCCTCACTCTTTCTGCATACTTAGAAGACCGCAATGTATTTGCAAAGCCTGCGCGTCTTTTCGTCGTGTCGCAAACTCCGCGCGTAGGTCAGGGCTAGAGATACAAGATCGGGTTCGATTTTCTTTTTTTTTTGCCAAAAAAGTCGTGACTGTATTTATCTTACAAGTACAAAGAAAAGCGAAACAAAGATTGCTCAAGATCCAGAGCAGATGGAGCAAATAAGACTTGCGCGTGCCGGGCATCGAGATCTCTGCGCTAGTGGTGGCGACTTGGCCTTGATGTAGAGAGCGCGACTGGGAACATCAGTAAGACGCCAGGCAGCCTTCTTCGTCATGCGGCAGCGCCGCCAAAGTGAAACGTGGGGCCTTCGTTTGCACGAGCCCGAGCAGGGAGTGGTGCGATTGCGCGCGGCTCGGTGGAAGCTGCGAGATGGCCTTCTGGAAGCTCCAAGCCGAATTCCTTGAGTCTTTGGAAGATGTTCGACTCCGTGGCACCCGTATCTGCGCCTTCTTTTAATATGCGCAAAAAGGCAAGGTAATCCTTCAAACCCTCCAGGAGAGCATGCTGATCGTTCTCTGCCAAGAGACCGAGCTCCGAAGGGTCTAGCATCGTCATCGCGCGACTGACCATCGACCATACCAAGGATGCGGTGGTCACAAACTGGTTAGGAGACACCAAATCCCCCCAGTGAGAAGCCCTAATCAACACAGTGGCATCTGCAGGCCAGAACAAGACGAACCGGGCACTGTCCCAAAGTGCTTGGCAGTAGTCCGAACGCGATCGCAGACGCGATCGATTCGCGGTAGGTCGATTTAGCGAGCTTGCAGCATCTGCTCTCAGTGTGAATATGCGCGTCCATAGCAGGCTGCCGATTGAGCTGCCCGGCATTGCGAACCAGCGTCGCCGAAATTCATGATCAGTGAACCAGCGATTTGGTAAGACGCTTTGCACAAAGTGGATGTCGCCAGCATCCATTGCCGAAATCGCTCGACTATCTTCTGAGATTGCTCCGACGGCTAGCGTATCTGCCGCAGTGGTTGAGATCTGTGGTACCCCGCTGGCAGAGCTGTTTCCGGTGCTGCCGTCGCCTCGAGAGGTACGATCGCGCAGCGCTGATACGCGAGCTACGGACGCTCGAACGGCCGCTGTGCGCGCTGCTAGACCTCTATCGGGGTGGAGCGCATCGTCATGCGCCTGTGTCAAGGATGTTGATACTTCGAGTTCTGCGGGGCGGGCCCTCGGGAAAGCCACCTGATTGCGCGGTTCTCGCGCCGCGCGCATTCGCCTGTATCGAGCAGCGACTTGCTGGCTTGGCGTAGTCGGATTGATCGGCGCGGGCAGATCGTCTATCTCGTCCGACTCTAGGCCGAAGAGCAGCTCGCTGACCGAATCTTCCTCTCGCTCCGCTGGAATTGCAGCACTCTCCGACGGGAAATCAGGCGCCGAATCTCGCGGTCTGTCGATGCGCCTGAGACGTGTGGGTCGTGCTGATGGGATCGGGTCGAAGGCTCTGCTAGGATCCACTTCGCGCGCACGAGCACCTTGCGCAGTAGCAAAGATGAAAGAATCCATCCAGCTAAGCGAGGTCGAGGAGTCGGCGTTGAGATCTTCTACAAAGTCCTCAAAGGTGTATTTGCGCGATTCGGGATGCGGTCGTCGCCGATTGTTGCGGGTGAGAACGTCTGCTACGGAAAAGGTCTCGCCATGTCTGACTGCGTATAGCTCTTCAGCGCGAGAGTCGATACTGCCAGCGTCCGAGCTCTCGCTTGTTCGGTAGAACATGCTCTTGATCTTGTCCAGGAGCAAGTCATCGTAGTGACCTTGCGTTCTGCATTTGAGCTGAAGGCGTGAGCAAGCCTGCGAGTGTGCTTCCTTGAACACTTTTCATTCTCAACTCACTTGCGACCCATAATGGCAGGCGCCCCGCGCTGCTCACGAGGCAGCTGATATTACAAAGAGCGTTCGAGGGAGAAAGCCCATTCGCTTGGCGAAAATGCATACGATGTCAGTGTCCCAAAGGACGAGCAAAGACGTGTATGCTGGGAAGAGTGGATGTTCCGGAACTTGGGTCACGCGAGCGGGCCTCGCTTCAAAAGCAGAGCGGAGAATTTGTTCAGAGCGCTGCGATTGCAGGCTGATGGGGGGAGGGAGGATGGATGGTGGAGGCATGCAGTCAGCCTGCATGCGCGCAATCAGGCGCGACGCGACTTGACCGATGTCACGAGTCGCGCGACGCGCGATCGGGGCGGGCCTGATGCCACGTGGGCGTATTCAAGGTGCGTTGCCCCTGCCAAACGAAAGCTAGGACCCACTGCTGGAATCTCGCGCGCGTCAGTCGGCACCGCCACACACTCGTGATTCTACGTCGTGTCCGCTCCCCTCCAGCTTGACGCTATCAGCAGCTACCCATCTTATTTGACTGGCTCGCGAATCGAGCCCAGGTCACAGAGCTACACTCGCATCCGAAGGTCAGGCGACGCCAAGCGCACAGTCTCGACCCCCCTACCACCTGCACCTCGTCAAAGCACCTTCCGACAAGTCGGCGAGGTGAAAGCGCGCTACCACCATTGCTGGCACACCCCAACCATCGTAAAGTCCCGCCTTCAGCTCCGAGCCCATCCAGAGCACGCTGGCCACTTTTGCATACTGTTCGCATCCGTACCTGCCACTGCATCTTGGTCAGGCCTTGGCCATCAGACAGCGCAACTTCACACGAACAGGCGTTGACAATAAGACTCCTCTGGTACGGCAACAGCATCATGCCTCCCACACGTCTGGTGGCGTTCCAGGCGCAGCGGGGGTCCAATGCGAACGGCACGGACGGATCCCGCACAATCACCATCACGCCCACTCCGAGCGGTGAAGCTGACGAGGGTGCTGGTTCAAGCTCAGGATCTGGAACAGAATCCCCGAGAGCGCCGATCCAGGGCACGCTGCGACTCAGGGCCACGGATGCAAGACCGGGAAGAAGGGTGGTGTGGGAGCAAGGCACTGTGGATAATGAGGGCATGGGAAAGAAGAAGAGCAAAAGTGAGTTGGCATACATTCCACGCGCTCTCGCACCTTCGGAGCCCAGAGCTAGTGTACGGCGCTTTCGATCCAGCTTACCCACACCGACACTCTTCTCCTCTCGTAGTCTGCTGCATATATCACAAGCCACGTGCTTTTGACGAGTCCTCATCATCCGGCTCATCCTCCGACTCTGATGATGATGATAGCCAAGCTTCCTCCTCCTCAGGCTCCGACTCGGATGACTCGTCTCCCGCACGTCGAGATGGAGCTCAATTCTCGAGGCGATCTGCGCATCATCGTCGAACGAGCGAGCAGGGATCCGACAGCAACGAGGATGATGACAACAGCTCGTCATCTAGTCTCGCTAGGAAAGGCAAACAGAAAGCGAAGTCCAGAACGCGTCATGGTGTGCCTCATGAATGCGAGCATGAGCATGCTCATTCTCACGGCGAGAAGGGATCCAATAGCGACGGGCGGGCAGAGCGCAAGAAGAAACAAATAAGACGACAGGTCAAAACTTCGGGCAGGTCGAAGGGCAGTAGGACCATGACGATTGAGCCGGGCACAGAGATGGAAGACGATGCGCAGCACCTCTCAGAGAAAGAGGAAGGAGGAGGAAGACCTGCACGCAACGCTTACGAGCGCGGTGTACAGTGAGACGTTTATCCGGCGAACACTGTGATTGATCTGTGCTCCTTTGAGCAACCCATTTTTTCAGCACTTCTGAGCTGCGACTGGGCACATGTATGGTGTGGCCCACGACACCATCGGCATGTATGCGGTTTGTCCACAAGGCCTCGTCTTTTCTTGACACACATCACAATGCCAATGGAGGCAGCAATGGCGATGACTGGTCTTTGCAAGTGTGAAGGCGAAACGTAGAGGAGACTTGGCGAGTAGGATTTAAGACGGTTGTGCCGATGGTGAGAGGATTCCAGGCCCGTTGACTCCACCTCTAGTAGTGACTGCTTGGCTACGAGCCCTTTTGACTTCACCGATAATTGCATGTAAGCGCGTTCGCCATGATTCACGACGATTTACAATCACCACGATATCCACGATTTGTTCATCATCCGGTTTTGCTGCCGGCAGGCAGCTCATCCACTCCCACAGTCACTGAGTGATTCACGATTCGCGCTTCGCGTTTTTCGCTGCAGGCTGACGCCGATCCTCTCGGTTGGTGGATCTGTGATTTGCGCCTTTGATGACGGTGCAAACAGCAGAAGCAGCATCATGGCTCCGGGGGAGGAGAGACCGAGAGAGAGAGATGAGAGACGGCGAATTTCGATGCGTACATGCATGCATGCATCGCCCCGTCACCTTGCCGCTTTCAAAGTCCATGCATGATGACCTTGCGCCTTGGGCCTGCGCGTAAGTTGAACCGCGGCTCGCGCAAAGTTTTTTGCCGTTACATCCTGCATATGGCGACTCGTGCTACTGGCGCTTCATTGCTCGTCTCTTTCTCATCTCAGTCAGAGTTGCTGTGGGAGTGCGACACACACTGTGCTGTGCATTTGGAAGGGTCTTCCGAAGTTTTGACCTTCAGTCCTCGGTGAGCCTGTGTGTTAGGTTGATGAAGCACCCTGCTTGCTCTCGCGTGGAGCAGCAGCTGGGATCTGAGCGCGCGCGTGAACATCCATGCATGCATGCAAACAGAGCATCGAAGGGAATTGAGAACGCGCGGCGAGCGCGGCGGGTGGTCTGCGCGCGCCTGCACCTCTTGCTTGCTCCGGCGTCGCCGAGGTCACCGAGGGTAAGATCCACTTAATTGCCTGCATGTTGACTGAATCACGTCGCGCACGCTATACTGTACGACAGCAGCGTTGCCTTGCTGTAGACCAAGAAAACTGCGCGAGCCTCGGCTTCATTTGGCTGCGACGCGGCCGGGTGGCCCGCCCGAGACCTTGATCCTCCATCCTTTTTGTCTTCGCAATTGCATCGCCTCGTCGGCACGTTCCCTCAACTCCACCACATCCAAAGCACATGGACACATCGTCAACTCACGACTCACGACGAGCTCCACCACCAAAGAAATAGAGCGCATACACACAGCCTAGAATTAGACGAAAAGTCCACGCCGACATCGACAACAAGCAAAACACGTCACACGACCCAGCCACCTAAGCACCCGCTACTGCTGCTGCACCGGTACGCCTTGCATTCGGCCGATTGCTCTCACGGCATTCCGACCCAACTCGCACGAGCGGTCAACGAGCCCACGTCCCAACGGATCCTGTCGCCACTCTAGATTGCAGTCTCTTGGCGGCGCAGCCCCCTACGCACCTCAAACCCGCATTCGAGCGTCTACTTCAATTAAGCTGAAAGCAGACTTCCACGGCGAAGCGCAACAGCAGCCAGCAACACCTTGCGCATGTCATCGGATCCGGCTCAAGCAGCGCAGCCAGGTTTGCGCTTCTACTTTCGAGTGCTGAGGGAATCCGGTCTTGCCTATCCTGGCAGCCTATTCCTATCGCTCCTACTGGCCAAGCCGGCCGTCCTCTCGCCAGATCTATACGCTCGAGGCTTGCTGCCTTGCGTCAGCTGGCTCATACTCAAACTTGCCGATAGCAAGAGCAGCTTGCAAAGTCTCGTACCCCCCGCTCCAGCTCGTGCCGTCGACATGATGATGTTGACGCCTCAGCAAGACGCACTGCCCTCATCAGCAGAGGCTCAGTCGGATGCGCCGGAAAAGGCTCGCTTGCAAACCAATACGCTTCCCCACAACAACCCACTGCCGCCAGGGTACCATGTGAGTCTTCTCTCGCCACTCGAGATAGGGGTTCAACAGCTTTCTGGTTAGAAGCGCGAAGAGGCAAGCGGAGGGCCTGAGGTTGGTCAATTAGGTTTGTTTGTGCCTGCGATGTTATGGGACGATGGGTCCGCGGCAACATTTCCGTGATGAGTCGCATGGAAGAGCAACGAGCTAAGGCAATCTGCGCAGCGCAGAGCGCCAAAAAAGAAAAGAAAAAAAAGAGACAAGAGAACAGTCTACACGCCAACATTCGCATGCGTGGCTGCGCTGGAGCAAACAAGCGCGATACTCGCTCGCTTTCGTGCTGTTTGGGCAAATTGCGAAAGCTGCTATTTACCGGTACACATCAGGTCTTGGCCAGGCGCGGTTCATCTAGCTTATGGGGGGGGGCGTCGTCACTTGTGTTGCCTCGGCCCATCACCATGCAATGTGTGCTGGGTGGTGATGCGGTGGCGCATGAAGCGGGGCGGCCGCTTACCGCTCGGGACCCCACCTATAGAGACAAACAAGGGGTTCATCCGCGGCACCGAGGGTAGCCGTGATTTCGCTAGGCGTGTATAGAGTTGAGATGGAGTCATCAGCGGTATGCATGCTGGACCCGCTCGGTTCACCGGCCCGCCGGGCAAAGCCTAAGACGGCTTTGCTGGCGGGGTGGGCTTGGCATTCGTGACTGATGACAAGATTCACACTTTTGGCGCGTGGATGCTCACGGCTGTATGGTATGCAATGGGCGCGCCGCGCGTCAGGCACAGCTTGCACTCACGACTGCGCAGTCAGAATCACACAATCACACAGCTACTGTACAGATCGCCCGCCGCGCGTGGGAGCGGAAGCTGCATCGCATATGCATGCGACGCTCGCCCGCGCACGCACGCGTGTGGCGATGACAAGCGCACGTTCGCGCACGTTGCCCTGAAACGGAGGGCGCTCGCCGCGCTCGCCGCGCACGCACAGCCAACGTGCCATCCTCGCTGCTGATGAAGGTTGCCATCTGCGCTTCATTCCTGCCCTTTTGATCACACGAGTCATCGCTCTCCTGTCGAATGTTTAAAGACTAAAGCAGACTTGCTCACACGACCCTTCCCTCTCCCTCACTCCTCACACCAAAATTTGTCGTGCTGCCTGCAAATCGACGACGACGCATCTCGCGCCGACGTCTGCACCTGCAACTCATCTCCGCGCCCACACCCACCTCCACATACCGCCGCCGCGCTCCACAACCATTTCCTTGTTGGAATTAAAACAAAATGGGTGCTTGGACAAAGTCGTTCAAGCTCAATGGCTTGCAACCGCCCATGCCGGAATGTTGGTGAGTGCTGGTGAAGTAAAAGTGATCAGGCATAGTCCCTTGCTTCCTCATTCTTACGTCGCTGCATCGCCGACGCAGGGGACATCGAGGAGCTTCGGCCGCATATCCCGAGAACACCATCGCATCTTTCGACAGGGCTATTCGCGACGGATCGGAAGGATTAGAGAGCGGTTAGTGCTCGCTGCCAGAGCCATCTTTCTTGACTGCTAGTGCGATTGTCAGGCGGTCCCCCCAATTGGGCTGTGGCATCTTTTTATGCGATGCGAGAGCAGTGTGTCAAAATCCTCCCCACACTTCACTTTGACGTTTCTCGAGGTTTCATGGCCGTCCTTTTGGATTGCATTGCGCACGCTTCGTGCCACACTCTTGGCACGCCCAGGGCGCTTATATGCTCGTGGGCTCTCCGCCGGACTTGTAGCATGTGCAGCCCGCTGCCGGTCCACCCTTCGTCCGTGCTTTCGCCAAAAGCGAGGGTCCTAGACTCACAAACCCCCCTTCCATTGCTACCACTTGCCGCACATGCTCTTCCTCGACACCTGCGTCGACTCATTCGTCTCGCCAGACGTGCACGTCACGGCCGACGACGTCATCGTCATGTTTCACGACCCTTCATTGGAGCGAACTACCGACGGCAAAGGGAACATCAAGGAACAAGCGTGGAAAGGCCAAATTGAGAACGTTAGAACGACTGCGAAGCCTCAGCAGCAAATCCCCACTTTTGATCAAGTTTGCAGCCTCCTCATGAAGCCCGAGAACAAGCATGTCAAGCTGAATGTGAGTACTTGGCGATCGTGTGAGCAAACACAGTGCAGCTGCTCTAACAAAGGTGCCCAACGACCGCGCGACATCTCAGATCGACATCAAACCGGACAATGACCCCGATCGTCTGTTCAGGCTCATGAAAAGAGTGGTGTCGTCCTATTCCAATTACGAAGTCGAGCTCGGCCCAAGATTGATTCTGGGCCTTTGGCACCCCGGCTTCATTGCACCTGCCCTCGAGCACGTGCCATCTTTGCGACGCATCCACATCGGTGGCAGCCCCACCGTAGCCAGGACGTACTTTTGGAAGCACTGCGATGGCTTCAGCATGTGGTTCGCCAGTCTTGTTGGCGCCGAGGGACAGGCATTCTTGGCTCAGGCAAAGAAGGAGAATAAGGACGTGTTCGTGTGGACAGTGAACCGAAAGGACGAGATGATCGAGGCTACCAGATGGGGCGTCAAGGCCATCTTGACGGACAAGACCGACTTATTCCAGACTGTCAGGGTGGAGATGCAAAGTGAGCCAGCTGCGTTGCTTTGGGAGATCGACTTGCGAAGATTGTTGGCTAATTTGGACTCCTCTGAACCCCCCCACCAGGAGACTTTGCTCTGACGAGAAGCGAAGAAGTTGGTTTCTTCTTCAGATGGGCATCGTGGCGGTACTGGATGCTACCTCAATTTGTCATCCAAAGTATGTGGATCGCCAACTTGCAGACACGCGCCGGCTCTACATTCGAGGGTGAGTAAAGTTTCTCGCCAATCGCGCATTTGTCTTCAGTGGCAAATCCCCTCTGATTCGCAGAAGCCTGTCTTTCCCTTTTGTTGATCTTCAGAGGCATGGCGTGCATCACCTGCGAGGACGGGCGATGTGCAGGCAGCCATCGACGAAAAGCCGGTTCCTGCACCTACCGGCACCCTCAACCCCGCTGCCATGGATCTTGAGAAAGGCGCCGCGGGTGTCGACGCACCTGCGCCTCAAGCCGTAGCTGCCACCGCCTAGATCGATTCAGCAACCCGTCAATATTCTGCCTCGCGTCGCGGGGCCAAGCGTTTCGCCATTGGAAAGTGAAGAGACGCAGGCCCGACCTTGAACCCTTCGCGCCACGGACTCTGTTCCATGGTTTCGACTCTAGACTTGATCTTGATCACTCTCGCATCCCACAAACATTGCATCTTTCCCGTGCACAGCTTCTCTCGGCCGCTAGGCTCGTCACGAATCCCAAAGCTAGTGCAGCATCTTCGTGGCTTGTTTCTGGTGCCCGCGAGCCCGCCTCCGCATCCTTCCGTCCTCGCAAAAAGCCTCATGATCCCCACGGCCGGTAGTTTTGGTCGATAAGATCAAACTATCGATATCTCCTTTTGATATCATGTTAGCTACATTCCAACCTTATACACCCTTCCCGCTTTCCATCGCATGAATGCGAAACATTGGCTTGCTCCTACTGCCGACACGTCGTGATCATCTTGAAGTCTTGAGCGGGGGCGCGAGTGTCAAGCTTTTGCCTTTCGTGATTGTACGATGAAGGCGTCCAATCCGACTCCTGCACAGTCTGCTGCTTCTCCCCCTTTGACCACGAGTCGTGAATGGGCCTTTGATTGGGCAGCAATTGGGATCCTCGCATCACGTGACTTGGCCGTGTGCGCCGTGCCGGTGCGAGATGTGGAGCGAAGACCTCTGCTGGTGCTCTTCGCTGCAGCACTTCAACACCACCACCACCACCACCAACATTCCCGTCCTTATCCCACATCGACTCGCGAAACTTTGTAGCGAAGATTAAGAGTTGCGGGCTACATAGTCGCTCAACATTGTGTTCGACGTGCTTCGAGAGCTGAAGAAGCTGCGACCACTTTGGCGGGTTCTTGAATCGACAGGAGGAGGAGGAGGTGCGGTGCGCCAGAGATCAAGCTTTTGCAAGTTCTTCTTCTTCGCTTTGCAGCCTCACTCCTGACCCGGGCCCTCGCAAACGCAGGGAGGTTGTTTTTCTCTTAGAGCATCTTGTGGCAGAGAGAGAGAGAGGGGGGGGAAGAGCTGAGGATGCCGGTCACTGTCAAGTTTTTGGATCTCGTCCATCGAGCTTCCGTCGTCGCTCTTGTCGGAACTGGGGTGCGTACCCTTTGGCGAGACGTTCGCTGGTGTCTGGACGCTCATGGGCAGAAGGATGTGGATGGAGCACGGTGCTGGGCCCTTGAAGGGGGGCATGAGATTGGGGTGTAAGAGCTGATCATCATTCAATGCTTTGCTGTGGATTTGCCGCCATGCGCAGGTGTGGGGCTTGTGGCTCACAGCCGCAGTGTACAAGAGCAGGAGGGGAGATGGCGCAGTGAGTGGTTGCAACAACATTCTGATTTTTATTTTTATTTTTGGCTCGGATCGGGCCCAAAAGACAAAGCGCTCAATCAGACCGAATTGTAATGTCAACCCTGTTTCTAGATTCAAGGTGTCTTGAGCCCGGTGAGTGATGCGCCACTAGCTCATACCCCCACCGAGCAATCCTGTATTTGCTGCGTGGGCCT